CTGCAAGAGGAAGATCCGGGCTGCACAAGAGATGCATTTTTTTCCAAGAGGAAGATGTCTTGTTGTAATTGTAGTAGTTGGTAACGTCAGAGGCCCGAATCCATCATTTTAGCCAGGTCTTCCAATCTCACCTAGGCGGAACAGTATCACTGCATTACTTAACGGGCTTTGACAGCGAGACTCTGTTGACATCGCCGTGTACGAGGCCACAATTGCCGGAACCGGAACGTGTCGTTAGTTATCCAACCAAGACACAAAGTATTCATTTGCAACAAACCATTAATCCTTTCAGTCAGGTTAAATATACGATAGGACTTGTCGATTCCACTAACCTTTGATTGATTTATCAAATGGCAAATTTCATTCATTGAGAAAATTGACTTCCAACCAGTCCGTCGTTTATGGGAGTATTTTGAGAGTTGGCAAAACTAATCACGAAATATAATATCACTACTTGTCCTCTCCGGCATATTAGTGTATTAGTAAATAAAACGTTATTTTATCTGGCCCAAAATGGAGAACGTTGGACAAAAACGAAATGCCCAACAAAAAAAGGAACGTGTAAATCGCCGCATTATTCGATCACTGCTAAAACATTTGTTAAACAACATATTACCTATCGGCATTTGAAGGTCATCTAGATCAGCTTCAATGAGCAACAATTTCTCTTGCCTCAAGAAGCAACTGTTTCGAATTTATCGAGTTTGTATTATCCATTTATAGCGCGTTATCGTAGCATGAAGCTGGTTGATCATTTGGTTCACTTACTACAATGTCGCACCGCAATCGGGTCTTACAATACGGTAAAATGCCATTATATCATATGATATATATGCCCACTAGATTTCACTGGACTATCCACCGGTCACAATCGACCGGATCGAATCAGGCGATACACCTAAAAAAGCGGACGGATAGTACAAAACCGATTTCGGGCTAGCCTGAATGCAATAACTGATCTTTTTTTCCAAGAAGAATTATTTTCAGAAGAATTATTAATTTTTCAGCCGGCCTTTCATGAGGTGGGTCTCGTTTAGATGATTTGGATGTAGAAAGTTGCTAACAGCAGACGGCTGTGAACACGGGAACAGGTTGCTGCCTAGCCCTTTCCCAGGCCGTTACTTAGGGGGGAGTCCGTCCATTCATGGCTTTTCAGCTTCTACTACGCAGGCCTCAATGATTCCCTTGAGGTAATGCATCCCAGCAACAAGGCCGTAATACACCTAATAGATAGCAAAGTTTCCTATCGTTTGTCGGTTTTGCTGGCTGCTAATCTTACTGCCACAGCCATTTTCTCTGGAGTAAATACATTGTCATTAATAGATTGATGAAATCAATGTAAAGTATCGCTCTACATTGGTATGAAGCTATGAAACGCATCTCCTACATTGTAGATTATCGACCGCCTTTCTGCGAAATCATAATCCTTGTTGGTTGTGCGAATATCGACCCTTTAGCCATCCAGGCAACTTTTGCTTATACTAAATGGCTAACATTTTTAAGGTGCCCCGAGGCCGACTTTTTGCGAACTAACAGTTCTGTAGGCAATACTTCTCATTTGGACAAATGAGACGAATCGGTGGGATGAGTCTCTTGATTTGAAAATACATCGAAAGGTTCAATACCACATTCTCTGTTGTTACCGTACAGCTTTTTATTGCGTGACTTTCTCGATCATCAACAATGCTTAGTTGTTTGAGAGCAATCGTATACTTTTCTACTGGAGTGATCTTCTGTAACTGTATTGGCAAAAGCAATACCTTTTCATTAGGAACAGGAAAAAGCCAGAATCTCCCAAGACCCAACTTTGGTAGAACTGGTTTGTGTATAATCACCCGACCAATTATACAAATGCAACCAGCTTCTCCATTTATTCACAAAAAGCGAATACATATTCGTACCAATAATAGAAAAAAATCGAACAATCTGGGTTCGTTAACCCATACTGCACGTTGACAATGCCTAACTGAAGCCACAACAAAATCGTTATTCTCCCGGTGTCTTAGCAGCACCTTTCGGCTGTGATTTGGTTGGTTCAAAACTTTTTGTGACTTTTTATTAATGCCAATGATTCTTATGTATCATACTTGCAGCATCAATTGCTGTTGTTCTGTGAGTTCAAGGCTGGCTCTACCGCAAGCTACTACGGATGAACCAGCCGGAACTACCAATGAAATGAACTTAAAATTGCCTGGTAGCCCCCTATTTGTCTTATTATGTCGAAACTACCGCTCGCTCGACGGCAGTGTACACGATGCTACAGTCATGCATTCATCTATTATTACTACGGCCTTGGAATTGCGGCAGCCATTGCGCTGCAACCACTGCCGTCGGAGCAGGCCGTGATGGATGCCGCTGTGCTCTGGAAAGGCGGCACAAGCAAACGGGAGAGGCACTGCGGTTTTCTGGATCGACCAGTAGCCGATCACGCAGACAGGCAGACAGACAGACAGACAGACAGACCCACAAACAGGGAGACAATAGTAGCTAATCGCTTGCTGTTTGCTTGGTTGATCCATTAGGCGCTCATCTGTGTGGCCACATATGTATATGCCAACGTGCGTACTGCATGTAATATAATACAATAGATGTAATCTAACGTTACGATAATGGTTACTTTATTAAGTCAGCTTGGTGCCCGGTCTGGATGCACATATTTACCAGGACACATTGTAACGGCCATAAATATCGGTTCATTATTCGAAACGCAACGGTTCGCAATACTTTTGATAGGAATGATGTTGTGGTCAGACATTTGACATGACCATCGCGACAGAGGTCCTGCATGAGAATTAAATTAGTCGAGGACGGCTGCTGTGCGCAAATATATATTGGGTTCGGACCAGTATTAGTTGTGTCTTACGTTTGAAATGAAGCATATTATATATGCGTTGTGGCGGTTATTTTGGCTGTTCTCGGCGATGGCTGTAAACAAGCAACGATCGCAGTTCGAGAAAATAGACCTTTTCATTGAATGCAAGCGGTGGTATCGGATGTATGTTGGGAGTGCATCGCGGGTGCAATGTTGTACATAACAGTGTCATGGTACGGTTACCAGTCGCTATTCAGTAGGAACGTAGGGCATTTTGTGGGGGCTGGAACTTATAATGATTACTCGATTTGACAGACCATCATTACCAGTTATATCAATTCAGCCGCTATACAGTATGAAATTTTCCTGTATCAGTCTCCTGATACATTTCTCACAAGAATGTAAATCATTAATAAGACCTTTGTCGTCTCGTTGTTTACCTATTTGTCTGAAATGATACATTTAGTGCACACTAAAGGATTGGCAATGCTATTGGTGGAACACCTTATTAGATTTCCAGGTCAATGTTAATACATTAGCCCAGTGCGAAAGTGAACGTTACGAAACCAGGCGTTCGCACATAGGTGTCAAGGATGTCGCCATAAGAACCCTAAGGGGTCGTCTGCTGGGAATCATAGCGGCGGCCGCGGCGGCGGCGACGGCGGCGTGTGATAAAATCAAGCCGACCTTTGCCTTCGCAGCATTTTGCAGTCTATGGAAACAACCTGGAGAAGTTTAAGACTGTCTGTCGTTTAGCATTATTTTCTGTATGTATTACGTTGCGTTGAATATTGCTATCGCTAATACATCAAGCCACAACATCGACGATTGTACTGATAACGAAATTGTCTTAGAACATAGATAACCTTCTAAGCAGCATTTGACGGGTGGACAGCGCTAGCCATACGCGGTTGGCGGGGTAAATTTTAGCGGTCTATTATCAATTACGTTGGTCTTTTTCAAATTTAAAAAAAAATTATTTCTTCAAAAATCTTATAAACAGTTCGGATCGGGTCAAAAACACGTTCTACGTTAAATACCTACATTTTTAATCTTTAACAACACGCGCCGTACAGTAAGATACTGCGAATAGAATCGAAATAGCTGTGACAATATCCCGCATTTATAATAAACTGCGTGTCACGATACATAGGTTATGTGTTCTTATATATTATTATAGGGATTATTTTTAATAACTTTATTGACTGTCTCTTGCGTTACAAGTTTAGATGTTTCTGTTCGTGAATTTAGTACTACCGTCAAGCATTGCTTTGGACGGCTGGCTTTCCAGCACGACACGAAGTATAGCTAGACCCAGTTTTATGTAACGTTATTCTATGCAGTTCAACAAGCAGAACGCATAGCGAGCCAACGTAGTGTATTTATAGCTACACACAGTATAGTCTATGTAAATCCGTCCCTTGCGACTGCCGAAGCCTTACACAGTATGTGATGACAAACAGAGAATGCATACGTGCGTTCTTCACTGGAACAAAAGTGATCGAGTCTGCACCTGCCAAGTTTACTCTTTACGCCCGCTACCCAACAAGCATATCGGCATGTGTTTCTACATGCCTCGCGTTTGGGTCGCGTTTGGTCGCGAAGGGGTAAGCAGCTAGCGATATTTTGCAACAGGGAAGCAAATTTGATGCCGGCAAATTGAGTACTCGCAATTTACAGAGGAGACTACTAGTTTCAAGCAAGCGCCAGTCAACAACTCAACCTTTATGCAGGGTCGGCCCCATTTGCACGTTGAAGCATACACCATGCGTCCTTTGTTGAAACAAATGTTCCCCTCCAGAAACTCGGTAAAAATACAGTATTGAATTTAACCAAGCCTGAAAGACTAATTGTCGTGTTTGACTCATTTGAACGATATGCGTTCTACGAATTGTCGTATATTGGTTCCAAGAATACCGTCATACGTGTAAAAAGTATGCCTATAGGGCTTCTCTGTCTTCCGATTAACGCGCTTTAGCTGGGTTTATCGTCATTGTTTATTATGGGTGTATTCAGTTGCTGTTCCTAAGCTGTCAAAAGAGTAGGCATAGAGAAGTGGCAGACTACACTCTCTAAGTTGCATGGGTCAATCTTTTAACAGCAAGTCCTTACGTACTGTCTATTTATAAGATATTGTTGTCAGGTGGTAGATCAAATGTTTTTTTAGAAGTCCATTAAAAAAACTTACAATCTGAAGAATCTTCAGTACTCCAGGACAGGTCTTAAAGTAGCCAGGATTGAGCTTTAGTCCCTCCCCAACTGGAATAGGTTCAGCTTTGAGTGTTGCCGTCAAGCGACCAGATCTCGAAGTATTTACTTCTGTCCGATAGTCCATTGGCGGCCCCTGGGGTGGGGATTGTGGTTCTTCATAGGGGTTGTACGTGCCGTCACGGTGAGAGCCTGCTCGGTAAGGATCTTCATGTGGCCGGCTGTAGGCTGGTTCCTGCCTAGAGCCGCTTAAGACAACTTCACGCGACGTCGCATAGATCGGCGCAGGTCCGATATACGTCGGCTCTAGTCGAACTCCATACGGTGGGTCGGACGGCCGACCATAAGGCCCATCCAAACTATTTCTGTTAATGTTTCGTGAATTTATTTGAGGCTGCTCGTACGTGCGCTCCCCGTATCCGCCTCGTCTGGGATCTCTGTCATAGCCACCGCCCCCACCACTATACGGTGCTTCGAAGGGCACTTGATAGCGACGATCCATTGTCACTCAGAACACTCAATTGCTAGCCTGTGGATCACGCGTTCACTTGCATTAGTCAGCCTAAAAGCTTCCTTCCACTAACACGAATAGAGGTCTATTTGACGCCAAAAGTTGTCTTTGTTTAATACTTTACATATTCCATTGTACCATTCTTAGGAAAACTCGCGCACTACACACTAGAAAAGAGAGAAGGTTATTTCTGCTTGTTTGTTGCAACAATTACGTTACAATTCTTTGGTTGGTTTGCTACGACAAAGCATCGGCCTAATGTAAGCTTGAATCACTGCAGCACTTGGCGCTAGTCGTCTGAACACTTGCTATACAGGAGCCTGCGTCTTCTATAATTCTTCCGTTTGTCAGTTTTCAGCATTCGCCTTCACAACAGTCGCGTTTGATATATGCTGCTGCCGCGCAGTCGCTGACGGCTCTCGCTTTGCTGACTAAATATGTTCATGCCGTGGTAGGTTACCAATGCTGGTGAAGACGCAATACGCGACTGTCCGCCATCTGGTGACAAAAAAGTGAAGCTTGCGCGCGTATCTTCGCTGGCCGCTATATCCACTATATCAGCAGCCAAGTTGTAACCGCTTTTGGCGGTGGCGACCGCTGTTTCTGCAGCGATGTAGCGGTACCAATAGCGGTGGCGTGAGTCTTGATCGATGGGCCTGCGAAGTACAGTTCCGATTTAATTTCGTAATAGAATTTGGTTTCATACTTTTTAAGCTACCGGGTCCCTCGCTGGTCGTGCCTTTGTGGTATTTGTATGTGAGCTTGAACAATATGGTTATTATAAACCTGAAATGAATTTCTACCAGTGTATTTTAATTTTTACAAGTAGTTTATAACTTGGCTGCATTAAAGTTAGCTAGATAACTGAATTGGTGTTTGTTACCATGGAAAAAGGCATATTAAGCTGCTCTGTGGCCACTGAACAGTTTCCGTAGCAGTTCTTTAGCGCTTTCAGACGTTTACGGGTTAAAATGAACCTAGTCAGTTGAAAAAAGAGGGCTAAGTAGAAACACCATAAATAGCCCGTTCAATGCGTACCACATAGCGGTACTTTATCTAGTATGCCTAAAAATTAAGTTGCTTCATGGAAGGTAATTCAGAAACATTAATAAGGGCCTTACACAGAGTGATCCTGTATCAAACTCTAATTAGCATGTGGTCGTGTTACAGGCCAGTTAAGTGATTTATTCACATTATTGGTAGATCAGGCTCTACGATATCTCTGGATATGCCCCATTTTACACAGTATCACAATAGTCGTATCGTCCGCCTGCAGGGGTAGTGGCATATCTCGCGAGAAGTTTTGTCTCCCGCAAATTGTCTTATATCATTTGATGACGACATGCTTCAGTTGTCATAGGACAAAAATTTAATAAGAAACAAAACAAATAATGCAAAAATTAGATAAAGATGAATCAACGATCTGCATCTGAATTTAGCCTATTAGTTATTACTATTGCCTAATATGATAAGGAACGACACTGTAGTAAGTAGAAACTACTAATGTTTATTTACATGGCAAATATTCTGATTATAATCCTGACATATATGTATACATTTAGTAAAAGTTGGAATATTGCAGTACTTCACCAGATGCAACTTCTTATAATGCTCTTTTGTATGCTGAAGGTCAGCACAGTCATTTCTATATACTTATATAGTATATATATCGATATAGAATAGAAATGACTATGGTAAATGAGTTCAGATGCAGTTGAAGCCTTGAAGCTTAATGAAAGGAAAAATATCGAGCATTCTCCGGTATCAATACGTCATGCGATCAGGTTCTTCTCCGTTAAAGTATACGTCTGTTTGTAAAACCGTATTCTTCTTTGGTCATTTTGTGTACAACGGAGCGATAATAGCATTAGTAATGACAATAATAAATAACAGATTCGAGCAGTTATACTCATACAACCATTAATGGTAGTAGTACGGAAGGACCCCATGTGTGTAGCCACAGCGTTAGAAGTACGCTGGAGACTGCTTTCTCTACAAGGATCAACAGTTCTCTTTATATCTTTCGTTTAATGGGTGCCGAAAATCGTTTCGATGAGTCAGCTAATAAATTCAACAAGTGCTTGTGCCGATAGCTTCATTTACTTAAAATTATGTACTTGAAAGTAAGTATGTCAGCTTAAAATACAAGATATCTTCTTTCTGCGTCTTCTTTTCTTCCCTACATGTATATTTCACATATACTAGAAAACTCGGCTTTCCATTTGATAATCTAGAACCTATTTTCCCTTGACAATACGTGTCTTGATTCATACCTGTAGTTGCTTTCCTCGATCATTATATTAAACAGTGCCGAAATACTGTATAAGTTGGCTAGCATAACAGAATTGGGCAAGAACCTTAGATAGATAACGTCTAGATAACGTCTTCTTGGATATAGCACATTTTAAAAAGCTCCACAAAATGGCCAGACGAAATCGGTAGTCAATGTGTATCAATAATTTAAGATGGCTACGATAACACGGCATTTATAACGGATAACATTATATATTCCCCTAACTCTCTCCTTAAACTCGGCAATCATTGGTATTTAAGGAGTTCGTCATTTCTGTATCCTGCGAGAGGGCACTCAGACCTCGTCGAAGTCCTCTCTCGCGGTCCAACTCTCGCTGGCGCGACGTCCTTTCGGCTTGTTCCTGTACGTCCTTTCTAGAAGACCGGGCGTAATCATACGTAAAACCTCCGATGAGTCCACCAAGCAAAGGCCCAATCCAGTACACCTGCAGGAAACAATGATGAGACATTTCAATTCTCAGCGGAGATCATTTCAATTTACATTCATTTCCGTGCTAAGAGTCGCTGGGTCTACAGTAAACATTTATGCTAATTGTATCCGTCTGTTTTTAATCAACTTCCAATATATTAATTAATAATATTATAAAATACCTTGGTCGGACCATGGTACCCGCAACTAAACAGTACCTCACTTTTTCAAAATGACGTAATACCACTTTCAGGTACGCGTCTTTAATCCCTTGAGGGAAAACATGCTATACGGGGCATGTAGTGCAGGCTTAGAGGATAAATTTGTTTTTCCCAAATTTTCTCAGCTACAATTCAGTTGTGGATCAGAAAAAGCTGTAATTCAACTCTATCAAACCAACCAGTTAGCTCCTATTTTGAACGCTTACAAATTAAATGAATTAAGTATGGAACTAGTTCTGTCTCTGCATACATTGTTTTGTATTATAGTTTGTTCTAATGAACGGCTTATTCTTTACACTAACGTGTATAACTTGTGGAAAACTAGGCTACAGGTTCATTTAATTATCAGTGTGACATTTAATGGTCAGGATTTATGGCACCTGTCCATAAAAATTAGCGTCTACATTTTACGTTTCGATTTTTTCAACTTGGGTCTCACATGTGTGCTCGATGAAAAGATACGTATCATACTTCCGAATGAAACAATGCCTCAAAAGAACTGTTTACTCGGTTCTTATTTTCACATAAACCTTACAACCATTGATCATTCAGCAGGCCCATTTTTGCTAGCTTTCAAGTCAGCAGGACAAAAAATGATCAAGCTCAGTCGCAAATCAACTTGTTAATTATACGTCAAATGTGTATAGCTTGTGAAATATAGTCGGCACTGCGTAAATGCGTGTTTTTGCATCGTACCACGCTTCTAACCGTATATAATCCGATCTTTGCGTTTGCATCTGATCTTTTCTCAACCGTAACAACCATTACAAATCGTCCGACAAGGTTAGTTGATTAAAACAGCTACTTTCAATCCGTGTCCGTGCCTTACCAAAAAAGGAAGAGTCGACAGTGGCTATGAAGTGATCTTCTACGAAATCATAGCCTCGGAAGCAGGGTCGAGCCATCCAGTGGGCCGATTCCTTGTGGATAGCCTCTCGGGCCATCCGCCTATTGGATAGCATGCGAATGGTAATTGGCTCCCCACGGAGAGGAGGAAATTTGTGCAGCTTGTTATTATTGTACTAACGCTCCGACCTATCCTGCACGGCCTCGGCTGATACAAGCACATATGCTGACTTGGGTTGAATTGAGCACAGACATCGCGACCCACACTATCTCATGATCATTACATAGTACGGTATGTAGGTGGTGAGGGTAGCAACTTGTCCCACGGCATGTTTCTTCTGCCGACGAAACAACTCTTATTCTCTGACAGCCATCTAGGGATTGTTGCGTTCTACCAACTTACACATAGTTGCGGCCTCACTTCTGGACAACTGAATGTTCTGGCTCCAGCAGCCCATGAGTGGCCGTCTAGTGGAAGCCCTGCATCCATAGCTATTCGTCCTGGCTAATTAGGCACCTTATTTCTCCCGACCCTCGCCGTTCGTACCATCGTAGTTGGCTCTCGCAAAGGATTATGCGGCCTGACACAGACTCCTACTGACGTTGAGCAGGGACGTCCAAGTATCCGAACTTTTCCGGCGTACTAGTTTACAGTAGAGGTGGTAACCTTGTTATTAAGTAATTCTATTAGATGAATCTAGATTTCAACAAATTCGTTGGATACATATTTTGTAGGTTATGGGCGCTACTAGTTGACTTAATTCTATTTAAGTCATACGCCACACTGCTTCTAAAAAGGAAATAAGGATCATTCAACTAGATTCTATAAACGAGGTTAACACTGAATTCAGTTTCTCCGAAGAGCAAAAAAATTGAAATTTTTATTGAATTACTGAGGGTACTGAATGAGATTTTAGAACAAACGGCAAGTTTTTGCTGTATGAGAGCTTTAGTATAATCGACATTGTACAATTAACCTGCAAAGCAGCATTTCTTGGACCATTAGAATTTAGTGTGTGTATTGTACTTCATGGCCTTCGCAAAAAATCCTGCCTTCAAAGGCCATTTCGGAGAGCTAGTATAAAAGTAGGACTAGGAAAACTAGAAATAGGCAAAACGCAAGATTAACGAAGATTAAGAATCTCAAAGATAAATTTCAGGAAATTACGCATGTTGTGTTGTAATGGCTATCTTTTGGCCTTTGCAGATTCACTGGCTACGCAGCTCCACTCACCTCCGCGTATAAGCCATTTACCATTGAAGCGGGGAATGATCCTAGTAGCAAGGCATTTATTGGCCATGTCAGCAATGAATATAGCCCAGTCGCGTTACTTAAGATTCCTCTCGAAAAGTTCCATTGAGGTTTTAGCATCCCTATGGATAGAGAAACAAAACACCCTTCCTGCTAATATCGTGCCAATCGAAAGCTTACCGTACAATAACATTAAAACAGTTTCCAGTTTGACGATAGTGTCAATGGGTTTGCCGTGCGTAGAATGCAACGTCGTGCCTTGAGTGTATGTTTTTGAACTGTGCATCTGCTCGAAATAGTCAGCAACGCCATAAGATTAAGATAGACCGGAAGCCAAATCTAATGAAGTCTATGAATATTGGAAGCTGTGACAACGGTAGATAAGTAATGAGTTTGCACGTTACTGATGCTCTTATCCCATCAAATGCACCGCTCTCTCAATTTGAATGTCGATCGTCGGTACTTACCCAATGATTGGTCCAGTTTCTCGCTACTAAAACCTGCCCTAAAGCTCTTACAGGGTTCAATCCCACGCCAGTGTGCGAAAACTGAAACGTAGAATAGAAAGGACAGTTTAGAGCTAACTATAGAAGAATGGTAGACCTGATGCAAATTACACGCCCTGATTCGGCTCTATTTACTTATTTCTTATTAAGTTTTGCAAGTACGTCCTTCCATTAACACGCATGATTACGCGACAAATGCTATATAGAATATAGGTGCTTCATGTAAATACATTAGGTTGTTAGAGCTAGAGTACTGATTCTCCATCGTTGAGAATATCCTAAATTTTTAACATAAACAGTCCCCTCGATTAAGGTTTGAAGTATACCCTTTCGTTATCCCGGTGTCAGAATCAGACGTCCCTTTAGAAGCGACTCAAAAGGGACCGTGAAGGCTGCGCTAAGTCATAATGCTGATCTAGTGATGCATAACAAGGGAACACGTCGGGGGTGGTAAGGCAACTAAAGTCCATGAACATTTCTGTATCAGTAGGCGTGGATTTTTAACATGATTCTTACGTGCGTACCTTCTTTTCATCGGCAACGCAAAATAAAAAAAATATTGAAGACTTCTTAACTAAAAGATGACTGTTATATGCACTCGTCTTGTTATAGATAGGGGTAGCTGTATTGTTTTGGGGTTAACATTTGCTTGTCTAAGGTTATCGCCTAAATTTGCACAGTTTGTGAGAACGGCTGAGTCCATGGTGGGTGGCACCCTGCTGACAGTACGACCTTTCTGTCATCTTGATCTCACACCTTTCGTTAAGATATAAATAGGTTATGCTTCACGCTTCTGTAGGCTTTATGACTTCGGCCCAGGCAAATTTGATCCAAAAGCATTATGTTAGCTACGCTAGCCACTAGCTGCATTGACTTTCTTGTCTGACCACGCAACAATTACTCGCTGAATTGAAGTTCCTTTGCAGGGTCGAGTTATGCGGGTAGGAGAAATTTCCTCAAAGGAGTGAAAGTCTGTAGGTAATGCGTAAAAGGCAATGAACGGGCTTCTGTGGTACCGAAATTGAGTTTTCACGCCACAGTGCTACTTTCATTGCTTCAACCAACCAGAAGGACGTGAAAGGGGTTCCGCTGAGAATACCAGCAAACCCCCAACTGAGCCAAAAACAAGTCCCTGTGTTGCCTCGCATTAGTATGATGCGATGTATACGGGCCTGCTTTGAAACTGCTGCTAGTGCTATAGGAAAACATCTAGCTATAAGTTTGCGTCCGTATGGCAGTTCGTAAGAATATAAGCGGGTGTAAAATTTAAACGAAACGCTACATGGTACAGAATGCTGATAGGCCTGCTCCTGCTGGCGTCCTCCGCAGGCTTTCTGCGCTGTTTTCACGCTGATACCATTTGTGTGCCTTTCTTTTACGGCTTTCCTTCGAGCGACTTTGGAACGCCTCTGGAACAAAAGTCTAGGTAGTACGAGGCACGGCGGCAATGGGCCGAGAGGTCGTCATCCACAGAAATGGCGGGACAGGAGAACCGGCACGGGAGAAGGACAAAATGAGTCAAGAGCATTGTTGGACGCAAAGGCCACGGGTCGACTGCGGTCAAAGGTATCAAGAAGAAATCGGAAGTAACAATACAACTTCACGAATGAGCTGTTGGTAAAAGGGGGAAGCACAAAAGACGAATAAAAGGAACCGAAGTGGTTGACCTCAGGCAAATTCGAAAATTAGATCAAGGACCAGCCCAGAAAGAGGGATCAAGTTTGACTCTAGGTAGGACGCCTTTTATGTATAATTTCTGTGCGTCTGCTTCTAACTACTTCAGCTTATCGGCCTTGCTATAACACTGCAAGAGGTAAGTTTTATCTCTGCGGTTCTAGAATGCCAAGTTCTTACCACGCCCAAACCTGCTACGGCGGCTATACAGGGGTGAGAACCGAAACTATAGTTTTCCATTGTTTGTCGTTTGGTCTCGTTCTTCATGGATTTTATTAATGTGCTTCTTAGGAATCTTGTTTTTTCTTACTCGTACTCGTTTTTTCGGTTCTTCGTAAACTTGAACTTGTTACTCTCGTTGTCTTATCCCCAGCGAAAGATTCAGATTCCTTCTTTTTGTCTTTCATTCAATGCAGGTCACATTCTGGCAGTTAACCGTGTGCACCTTTAACTAGGGCTTGTAGCTTAATGAAACTCTTGTTAGTTTATAGGGCACTGCCGCACAAACGTTGAGCCATTGCTACGCACTGCTCAGCTAATATCTATTCACATGAGTTCTAGAAGCTTAAAATATTCAATGGTGGGGAAATTTGACAGATTTATTCATTGGACCGAACAATTTCACCGTTGACCCACGAGCAGATACGATACAAAATCCGTGTGTGCTTTTTCAGTCCATTAGTTCGCTTTTCGATAAAGAACGTTCATTACAGCCGTGCACGGATTAGCTTCGTACGAATCTTCTTGTCGTCAGCGGACTCATTATCATTTGTCAGCACCTGAAATAGTTCTACTGGCGGACACTACAATACAAATGCCAAAAGCAAATGGGTTTCCAGCACATTAGTCTTGGAATGGTACTATTATCCATCTAGCGTCCGTTACACACTTCAGCCCATTGCGTTTTAGATTTTTTATCGTACAGGCTTGTGAAGATCTTGGATATTGCTGCTACTGCTGCATAGTCTTCTTTTCAATCCTAATTCCGAACAACGTACCTAGAGATGTGTGGGGGTGCTTACATGTACATAAGTGTATGATACGCGTCAACCTCCACTAGTAATCTTGTCGGTGCCTCATCATGATCATCAGTGGCGCTTCATCCGCGTAAGCATACATTTAGCCCTGTCGATCGTACCGCTAATAACGGACGAAGCTCGCTTATTGATGTATCTCGCAAACACCCACAGACATATGTATACCGACGGACAGGCGACTGAGCGGTACGAGGAGACAGCTTCTGTCTATGTGACGGACGAACTACTGAAAGAATGGGCCACGCCATTTGCTCCAAGAGAAGTATATAAATTCGACTCAACCGTTCGAATCTACTAATATAGAAAAAGAGTTGGCAGACGTCCTGTTCTCGGCATACCGTTCTAAGGTAGCACCATTGGCCGGGTAAGTTGCAATGGGTCTGGAAGCCACAAATTGGCAGTGGCGGAATAGTGGACATTAGCCTTCTTCTTCGCAGGCTACCAGATTTACAACATAACGATTGTGTCTTCGGCGTGTTACGGTGTAAGCTGAATTGTCTTTGTACCTGAGCGAGCGATATGCACCATATTACGAACCCGAAGGATCGGGTCGAAAAAGACAGGGACAAGTACGAGACAAGATAGCGAATGCTGAAGCGAATTTCTTCTGCGGGCTTTTCTTCACGCTAACTGCGTTCTCAGCAGGTGTTCTGCAATGCTATGCGTTGCCCCTATTTTCCTTTTCTATTCGTTGCGTCCGTTTATTCTCAGCGCTGGTAATTCGCAAGTTTCCCATGCCCAAACTCCTATAACGTCTATCATACACACTGTCAAACGCCAACCAGGTAGGGCCTTGAGAGGAAGAGTCAAATTATCCGCAGAACTGGTAAATGAAATTGAAAATCATATAGTGTTCTTCAACGACTTCTGGTTGCTTTTTAAGCTCGTTACTTCACAACGGTGAATACTAAGTATGAACAAGGCCGGCTAAACTCTCGTTTGTTGGCAAAACTACGATTTCTGTACAAAAGGGTTTACGGTCACTCTTATATTAATCTACTGTGAGTCGACGATTCTTGTCTAGGAACGATATTTCGGTTCGCCAGGCAACTCAAAAAAAATACCCTTTAGGTTCAGGCATACGTCGCGAGCCGCAAAGCAAAGGCCCTGGCACGTACTATGACAGACAGGACAAGCCAAAGGCAGAGGTGTCAGACCACGTCGTCTTGTGTGTTCTGTGATACGTTTCTAGGGGCTTCCTTCGACGTCCTGTACGTGGGCCGAATTCCGAATGACAACATTTTAACCTTCAGGAGCAGTGTTGGCTTTCGTGTTTCTTTTACTGAACGTGTAGGATTATGAGAGTATGAATATATATGTTGAAGGAGACCTGAGAGTCACTTCTTCAAGTGTCACCAACTATACGTACTGTACAACCTGAAAAAATAAAGTTATATGTATGTGTGTATATATATATATATACATGTATGCAGTCCAGGCACACTTGGTGTTGACGGTAAGCATACCGCTTGTTAAATATGAAGACCAATGTGAGCAATGAATGGGGAAGCATCTATTTAATGTTAAATAACGAAACTTAGGCTACCATTTTTGGTCTCCGACGAAAAACTATTGTGTGCTCGCGTGATAAAACGTATTTGTACGTATGGTCTAGTGATAACCAGTTGAAGCACTACCATTTGCGCGACACATTTATCTGTACCTGCTAAACAGTAAACACGGTAAATCGCGACCGATACAATGAGCTCGGATCATAAATTTTTTTTCTTACTTTTGCGTTGGATAAAAGATATGAAACCTTGTTTGCTTGATCTTCTAAGAGCCGCATAATGCGATTCGCAGCTCTATCCACCCGTTTGAAGATAGTTCACAGTTTACCCTTAAGACTTACATCCATGTGTACCATAATAGTGCTGTCCTCTTCTAGGACATTACAAGGCACATATGGGAAAAGCACTATGAACTAGCATACAGGCATTTTAAAAGTAGTAATTTGTACTAATTCTTTTGAATACAAAGTCCACAGAGCCAGACGCGTCTCTGCTCCATATATTTTTCTCTACGCCGGAACGAAAGGATTTTTAAAAATAATTATTCACGGCGTTCAGTGGTCATTAGCCATTTTGTCAGTGTCCTACAAAAACATATTACTAATTCAACATAAAGCTCTGTCTTTTGTCAAAATAAAATAATAGACATAGTATGGTAATTGTAGTATACGATACGCAGGCCTCTTTGTAGTAAAATGAACAGTAAAAATTCGGTATCGCATAAATAAGTGGAATTTTCAAAACAAATTTATTTGATTCTTATCAGCATTATACGACATTATATAGCCATTGAATACGAACGATGTAAGCTTCAAATGTG